TTTTACAGTTTGAACTTGATTTATTTACAGTATTACATGAAGAGTGGAATATAGTGGGTCAAGTAGTCTGTTAAGTGCAGTTGAAGGTAAGCTGGTAAGAAGAATCTAAATTATTTAAAATGTCTACTTCAATAAATACATCATTGCAACTGTACCATGAAGAAAGCTTTAATCATTATAAGCGGTTAGGAAGGTAAAAAATATCAGTGAAAAATAGCTTGACTAGATCATTTTTAGAGTATGTTTTTTTAGATTGGGACTTAGGTAGTGTATAAAGAAGGTTACCATCCTAATACTTGTCTCGCTCTGCTAATTTGTGTATTTGTTATATGTTTTGTAAAAATCCATTATCTCTTTACAAAGGAGATAACTTTTCATGATTTCTCTTGACTGTTATTCTCACACACGCTGTCCCACAGGTGTATAAAAAGTTTATATATGCTGTGCAGTTGTAATGTAAATTAAGTGCTTCTTTTTTCATGAAATGATTACGTAAAGAAAGGACAAAAATTTAGCCTAATGAAGTACTGCTATTCTTCAGTTTAGTAGTTCAGAAGAATTTTAACTGAAGTAGATTTCAGATACAGTGAAAATCACATTTAATTAACAAAATCCAGTACTGAGTGCCAGCTGTTTTGAGCTTAATGTCTTTAAATATTTTAACACTGTAGTATAACAACTGATGTTTAGATTGAGAAGATATTTTTGTGGATGAAGATATAATTTCACATCTTAAAAGGTGTATAATCAGGTGGTATACTTCATTAAAGTAACATAGAAAAGTGCAAATCACAAAGGCTTCTATCTGTATACACATTTCTGTGCTTACAACTGTAGTACTGAGAAATACTACTCCCTTTCTACTATTCAAATTATGAAATAAACCATATAGTTGCTTTCTGTTTCAGTAAAATATTACCTACCGAGTGAGTATCTGTGTTAATTTAAAAAACCTAGTGATTCTGTTTGATGAAAATGTTTAATATTAATGATGAAGTATTAGAAATACCTTAAGACATGTACTTGATTCTTAATGGTATAACATGTTTTTCAAGAGCTGCTCTTAGGTACTAGTGTAGGTGTATAGGGTCAGTGTGCTGCTGATTCAGATGTGAATTCTGTTACCCAAGGGAGATCAATTGTGAGAAAAATGTCCCTATTTTAAAGTGCCCTTATGTATGTGTCTTACTCAGATGTGCAAAGACTGGAAGCTTGTTGTATCCCTTTAGATTTTCCTGAGTCAGTGTCCAAAATGGGAAGAATTTAACACTGTTGGTGGGGGGGTGTTGGTTGTTATGTTTTTGTTTGTTTGTTTGTTTGTTTTTGTGTGTGTGTTTTTTTTTGGGGGGGTGTAGAACAAATTTTTTTTTTTTTTCACAATTGTCAATTATTTGAGAAAATTCTTTTTGCTGAGTACATTTCTCCTAGGTAATTTTCTTATATTACAAATATATCTCACCATTTAGTTGTATCAATTAGTTAAAATTACTGAAACGTTCTTCTTCTGATTCGTTGCTATAAAGGTTTGCAACTACTAATAAATGCTATTTGAAGTGCTCGACTCCAAGCTGTATCTTTATGATAAGATAAACAGTATTAATAACAATAATAATACTATTAATAATGCTGACATTGATAATGGTAGTAGTAACAATTTAATAGTAAGAACTGTGAGAGAGTTGTTCCCTTGAGTATTCTGATTGCTGATCTTTGGTTGAAGAATATGTATCAGACTAACAGTTCTTCATATAGAAAACGATTCTTTTCATTGCAAAGGTGATGTTTATCTGGGGCATCAGTTGTGTTTTACATAATGATACAACAGCTTCAATTTTGCATTTATTTTGAAGAATATTAAAACTGCTTCCAAAATTATAGTGATCCATGGAAACGTCAGTGTATTTTAGTAGACTGTTGCATGTTCCCTTTGTATCTGTCCCTAGGGGCTTCTTCAACAGACTGACATTTAGTTTTGCTTTAGAGAGAATCTTTCATTCACTTTTTTGTCTTGGGAGCAGAAAGCCATATGACTGTAAGCTACCAGTCAGTCAAATGGGAAATGAAGAAAAAACATTAAAATCCATTACCACCACCACCAAGAAGAACAAAAAAAATTCCTCCTGATTATTTATTTATCAAAGCATCAAGTTTTTTGTGGTGTGGGTGCACAGAACTTTTGTTGTGGTGGTGGTTTTTAATTTTTGTTTGTTTGCTTGTTTTGGTTTGTTGGGTTTTTTTTGTTGTTTTTTTTTTTCCTAGGCTTCTTTTAGGAAATATGAGTAGAAATTGTTTTAAGAACATATCTGCTGCCATTGTCTGACACAATACTTCCAAATATTTCCACTCTTCAGTGCCTAGAAGCCTGCTCTGTATTTTCAGGCAAGCAGTGATGCTGTTGTGTATGATGTTCCTCCATAACTTTTTACTCAGAAATGTATGTTTTTAAAAGTTTTAACTCTTCTAAAGAATTCTATGATATTTTTAATGCCTGCTTGTTTTTAAAACTAATTCGCAAATAGTTGCATTAAAATGTAGTGGAAACTCATCAAGGATTACTGACAGAAATTCTGTGCCTGATTTAGACATAATTTATTTTTTATTCTGTTCATGTATTGTTATCATTTGATCATAGAACGCATTTTCTTGATGTCTTACTTCAAGGCTGACTCAAGCAGTTATTTTATTCCAAACCACTAGAGGTCTCGTTGTCTAACAGCAAAACCAGTAATCCTCTAAGTCTTTAACAGCCATTTCTGTATGTAGCAGCATGGCAGAAATATGAAAGGATTTTGTGTGTAAGTGGAGAGAAAACTCTGTGCTGGTTGTGCTACAAATTTAATTTTTAAAAGTTAAAAATATTACAGTGGACCATCTGTGCGCCTTCCCGGTATGCAGTAGTATCTTCATAGCTTTTCTATGACTATGTATTGTAAATGATCAAGAACTCTTTGGGTGAGCCACACTGTTTAAATAAGGTTAAGTCTCTTACGGAATATGTGCATACCTGCATACATCCATGTTGTTTGAAAATAAGGAAAATTCTGATCATGGCTTGGGTAAAAACTACCATTAAAGGCAGCTGCATAAAATTACTATTTCTGTGTTGAGCTTCTTTCCTTGTTTCCATTCCATCTTGCATTAGAGGGCAGTGTGAGCATCCAACACGTCGATGTTGACATACTGGAAGAAAAGCAACCATTTTAATGCGTCTTGGATGCCTGCTTTTCATTATGTAGCTTGTGATTTTTTAAGAGGAAAAGGTTGGTTTAGAAATGGAAGTAGCAGTTAAAGAAATTTGCATCCAGCACATAGGAAACCAGCCAGTAGAAAAGTTGCATTCAGTCCCTTGTGTGTTTCACCTTTTCTATGATTAAACACTCCCCTGTCTTAAAAAGTGCTGATACACCTAGCTGTAGCAAACTTAGAAAGCTAGATCTTCTTGCATTTGCCAGTTTTTTGATGTATCTGTTTACTGAAGAAAAATACAGTCTCAGTTTTGCCCTTTAGCAGAGTCATTTAGCTGTAGTGCTAAAAGTTTGTCCATTAGAGACTATGTGTTTTCAACTGTATGTTTTAAAACTGTATGTTTGGCTTTTAATTGGAATAATTACTGAATAAGGTACTGGATTTACATGGCAAGGTTTTTGTAGTATAGGAGCTCACTGTATGTTGAACAGAACCAGTTCCAGCTGGCTCCAAAATGAACCTGTTACTGCCCACAGCTGAGCCTGTCAGTGGCTCTGGTGTCATCCCTATGACAGCATGTTTGAGAAAGGGTGAAAAAACATGTGCAACAGCTGTGAGAGAGACAATTAAGGAAAATGTGAATGAAACAGCCCTGCAAACACTGTAGTCAGGAGGGAAGTTCAGCTTAGGGAAAATTGAATGTGAGGGATCCTCAAGATGAGTCTGCAGTGGTAGTTGGTCAGAGATCGTCTTGTCCTTATCTCAGTCCATGAGCTTTTTCATTCTTATTTTTCCCTGCTGAGGAGGGGGAATGAGAAAGCAGGTCTGTGGGCACCTGGCAGCCAGGCAAGGTTAAACCACCATAGCAGTTTGTGCTATGGGCATGGTGATTTACTTATTGCAGTCTCCAATTACTAAATATTATGGAGCATTAGGTACAGTAACTTTAGTCTGAAACATGTCTCAGCATCTACAGTATTCCAAGTGGAGACTGCATTTACTTGATCACCATTAAGAGTTTATTCAGGTAAGCCTAAAATACTCCACACATATGCCTAATTTGTAAAGAAAAGCAATGTGGAAATTTGGGAGACTAAAATCAGGGACTAGAGGAAGGTTGATTAAGAAAGGACTTCGTGAGATTTTAGGGTCTGCATTGCACAGGTCAGACTACATGTTTATAACAAACCCTTCTAGACCTTAAACGTAACACTCCCCTTGCTTGTTTCTTCCTCTTTGTAGAAAAACCTGGGTAAAACTGTAACTTGATATGTACTTGTATTCATTTTCTTTTGATGAGTTAAAAGCTAGGACTATAGGCCTGTAAAGACTTTTGGGCTAGGTGGATACTGCATGAGTTAGTTTTAAAGATAAAATTGTGATGCCACTGATGATATGTGCAGCCTCTGGATTCAGCAACGTATTCTGCCTAAAACTATCAAGAACAGCTAATAGAGCAAAAAGACTTGCTGTAATTTCTTTTTGGTCTTAATCTTTAGGAGTTAATCAAACAATGCAGTGTCCTGAAGTACCTTTTTGGAATCCTAGTGTGTATTCTTGGTGTTATTTATTCAGATACTCATATTTATACATATATACATGCATTCACAATATATTTCATGTTTATACAGATATTCATTATATTCTTTTGACCTATCCTTACCCCTGAAGAAGTGAGAAAGAGGGAAAAAAGAACATTTTGATTAAAGTAGAGCTGGTTTTCACATGTGGGATTTTTATTTTGAACTTTCTTTACTGCAAACTGGAGCATATTCTCTTACTTGTCATTTACATATTCCTGTCTTCTCTTGCAGTGCACTTGTAGGAGGGACATGGTGAAAATATCTATGGACGTCTTTGTGAGGAAGTTTCAACCAGACAGATACCAGCTGTGGAAACAAGGCAAGGATATATACACTATTGATCACACAAAACCAACTCCTGAATCAACACCTGAAGTGAACACCTGGCTACAGAGAAGAAAGAAAATAAAGGAATTTCCCAAGAGGTATTTATATTTATCCTCCATTTAATTGTCTTCAATATGATGTCAGTTTCCTTTTTGTTTCAGTTTTGACACTTTCGCTAAACTTTTTTTAAATTCTTTTTTGAAATTCTTTTACCTAAACGAAGTTTGGTTTTCTGTTTTCTATATTAACACAAACTTGGGAGAAACAAGAGTGACTGTAAAAAAATAATTCAATTTACATGTTATGTATATAGCTGAAGTTGATGAGTATGGGGAGCATCAAAATGCATGTTAGTGTGGTATTTAGAATCCTTCTTTCGTAGAGATTATTCCATTAACATTTTCAAGGTGTGGATGGTTGCCATTGTTTATAGTGACATCTGCAACTGAAAGACAAGGAACATGTCTCCTAAGAGTTGAGGAAAAAGTTAAATTGGAAAAATTAACCATGAAGCTGTGGTAGAATCCAGACAGTTTTGTGAAGTCTCTAGCAGGAGTCTTAGCCCTCACTTCCATCATCTCCAAGGAGGTAGCACTGCCTTTTTTGTCACGCTCTCAGAGTGATGCAGCCCAAACCTCTGTGTTTACCACAGGTCTATCACAGATTGTAATTTGTCATAAGGCAGGCCTTGATCTCATTTGTTGGTACTGACACCACTAAGAAAATTAGGAGGAAAACGACAGCTTGTCACTGAAGCTGTCAAATTGACATCTTTAATAGGTCAAATTTGACCTGTTAAAGCAGTTTCGCAGCTGGATCTATTTTCCTGGTGTGCATCATGTTTTTTCTTTGCATTGTAGAAAATTTTTTTGCACACTAATGTTTTTTGTGTCCTAACAGGATCTTTATGGTTTTTTTTTTCTTCATTATCTAATGAAGTTTTATTTGCTTATTGTGGAGTGCAGTTTGCTGGGTTAAAGATAATACTGAATTTTTAAAACCTTTTTCCTCCTTCAAATCATCTTACAATATAGTTATGTTTAAAAGTTGCTCTTAAGCTGAATTTCTTAATTTTTTTTGTCAGTTAATGTACGTATGATTTCTTGAGGAAAATGATGGGAAAGTCAAACTGGTAAAGAAGAGGATGAACTGCCACTGTAGTGGAATATTATAGTTGAGAAGTACAACACTGTTTGCTCTGGATAAGAACAGTTTGTGGGACAGAATGAGTTCTTGGAGGCAGCCAGTGAAGCAGCTGGAGAGCAAATTTATTAGTATGTGTATAATATTAACCCAGGTAGAGAGAGAGAAGAATTCTGTTGGTTAGTTGAATGTTATTTTGCCTGTAGTATGTTTCATTCAGTGTAAAGCATATCACATTTGGACCAGCAGTGATTATTTTGGTCGTCTCTTAACTAGTTTTGACTAAAAGCAAAGACTTTATAATAATACTGTTGAATGTTTTATCATATGAGCACATGATCTGACTTCTTGCACTTAGCAAAAAACTTAGCTAAAAACCACAATTCCAATGCTTTTTAATTCTTGAGTTGGCTTTTGTTCAGGCACTATAACTATGTGTTGAAAAGAGAGGATAAAATGTTTATTCAGCTTCATTTCTAGTGTAATGTGTCAGTTGCAATTGTCATCATTTTGATTATGGGAATAATACAAGTTACAGCAGTGTGAAATACAAATGCCATCCATGGAAATCTTCATGAATATAGTGTCAGGGAGAGCTGAACTCTGACATTAGCGGCTGAAATACTTTGCAACAGTGGAACATCTCAAACTGCATGTAAACAGTAATAAGACTTGCTGTTATATTACACTGTGAACTGGTGGGCATCTCAGGCAAATTTTCTGGAAATTACTGTGATAGAGGGTGTTGAAAGATACACATTGATCAACATAGGATAAAATGTAAGGGGTAGCAAAATGTTTTTCTGGAGGTGTCTATAGTCTGAGATGCAAGACCTTTATAACCATTATTTGCCTGACACTGTTGGGCTTTTATAACTAGTGTGTTACGAGTTCTGAAATCTGATGTGTGATGAAGCACATAAAAATCACCTCCTGTGTCACATGGTTGAATCTGAAACTGTACTTACCTCCTGTTACTTTTATCCCAAGCACATAAATTACGAACCAGTTTCTGACAAGAGGGTGCCATTTCTCTGGCTTTAACCTTCTACTTCTGAGTGTGCAAAAACATGTGGGAGCTTTAATTTCTGGGTTTTTTGCACAGCATTATGGGATGTATTGTTTGATACTGTAGCCATTCAAAATATTTAGTTATCAGGATTTTTCCTTAAAATACATTTAAAAATTTAAATATCTAAGCAGGTCCTATTTTATAATGATATTCATAGTAGTGTTTTATTAGCATTTGAGTTTGCAATGCAACCTGATTTTAGTGCAGCTGAGAATGTTTTGTCTTCATTACTTTTATAAGGGGTGTTCTCTTTCAGGTTCAAAAGAATGATTCATTAAAAAGCTACTTTGGATGCTTGTTAAGTAATAGTTACATGAGGTTATTTTACTTTTACAGTTTAATAACTTTGTCATAGCACGGTGATAAAAGATTGGAAGGTTAGATCCAATGAATTGTTAACTTAATAAATTGTAAACACTGTCTCAACACAAAAAGATGAAAAATTGTCAGTTTTTTTACCACTTTTAGCAGGTGAAAGGGACATATATATTGGTAGATGTTTTATCTTATCCAAGACAGACATTCTACTCTGACAGCAGTATCTCTTATAACAGCTTCCCTCACACCAGATCTCAATCTAAAAAGCTTAAAACTCCAGAGGACAAGAGAGTATCTGCTATGGTAGCTGGTGCAGAAATCACAGCAACTGAAGCAGCTACTGATAGCTTCAAGGTCAGTGAAGAACCTGGGAAAAAAGTGAGGCTTGTAAACACAGAAGCGCCTTCTGGGGGAGAAGACAACAGTAGTAGAATGCAACTGGATCAACATTTGTTGGATGATGTCAAGGTTGCAGGTGAGATAAGGACTGATTATGTTTCACATGAAAGTTACAGGCTGTTGATACTCTAATGCACAGATCAGTGGGTGATAAAGCATAGTATTAGCCTAAGTAGCATACTAAAATGCTTATGTAGTTACGCAATTCAGTAAGAATGAAAAAATGCTAAAATTAATATTCTGAGCTGAGAGTAATATCACCTAAGCTGTTAGTGAAGTGGTTTTTAAGGGGCAAAAATGATTAGGTTTCATAAATTATATTTCTTCAATAGACTGATAATGTTTAACAGCAATTTTTTTATAGAGAAATGATACTGAATGTCTTAACACACAAACAGTAGGGAACATACATGCTGATAGTAAGCTATGTGTGTTTACATGAAGAATGCTGCATATTAGAAGTCCTTTATACTTGTGCACAGAAATGCTCTATTTTGAGAGTGCAGATTGCTTGTCACTTCCAGCTGGCTGACAAGGCAAGTTGTAAAGGCAAAGATGGTCCTTATTTTTCCATAAAACTATTTTACACTAACACACTTGGTCTGTTCTGGACTTTATTTCTTCTGTTTCACATTTTGTGTAGTTCAGGTGCCGTTTCACATTGCTGTGCAGAAAGGCAAACTAAACCGAACTTTTAAGTTTGTGAGCAGTCCCATTTGGGTTTATATTTATACTGAAAATTGATTTGCAAATTGCATATAGGCAGTATTTCCGAGATTGTGAATATTAATGATTATGTTAATGGTTATTTAGAAATGGTAAACACTAGGATTGATCCACATAAAGATAACAAAGTCAGTATTCCAATATAGAGGCTTAGAAATTCCTGTATACAAATAATCGGTGCTCTGTCAGACCTTTCCAGGTCTGTTCTAATAATAGCTTTTTAAAAAAAAAAAAAAAAAAAAGGCAGTTCTATTCCTTTACTGCCTTCCCTGTAGAGGTTTGGCATGTTCATGACATCTAGGAAACTAGTATTTTGTTAATGTCCACTCTGGGTTTGTTGACGAAGGGAAGCAGAAAAGAGTGGAGAGCGCTCCTCTTACCTTTGTGCTAATAAAGGGTGGTGCCTGGACCTTTGTAAGGAAAATGACTTTTTTAGGTACAATGTTGGAAACTCCAGTACCCACATTGGAGATGGTCATTTGTCTTGCATTATTTCTAGCTAGTATGTCAGTTTTTCACAGTCAAGGCAGTACTCTTCGTACACAGAGATTAAGTTTTAGTTTTGGCTTTGTATTACTAAATTTTGTATTCATTTGACCCAAAAAGGAAATTTTTCAGAAAAACAAGTTCAAACAGCCATTGTAAAAAAAGAATGGGAAGGGTCTTTTTCTTTGATGCTTTGGATGTGCTGCTAAATCAGAATACACTGGTGTGTGCCACTGAGATCTTCAGGAGCATCTTTTTTGGGTCACCTCTCTAATTCACTGTTCTGTCTGTTCCATGCAAGCGTGTGCATCTTACATGCAAACATTTATATTTTGATAGAGAAAAATCCACACAATTTCACCCTTCAGCATCACTAAAATATAAAATTATGCTAACTGCTTTACATTATTACACATATTGTTTTCAAAATATTCTTTGTATCTATTTGAAATAGATCTCCCAAATTGTAAACCAATAGTATTTGTTTATTTTAATTTTTAAAACAGGCATAATGCATGCAAATGCAGGATATAATGTTCAATATATATAAATGCAAGTATACAAACCTTTTTATTATTTTTTCAACTAGTCAAAGTAATTGTTGGCTGTAAGGATAAACAATCTATAGGAATATTATTTTGAATGACAAGATGATCTATTGTAATTCAAATACAAAATACCGATTAAGTGATTAAAACTGCAGTTCACACACCAAACTCCAAAACATTCACATTTAATTTATTCTTTGATCAAACCTATACTCCACGTTTGCTTATGTCCTTTTACCAAATGATTTTCTGTATGGTTTCTAAATGAGGAACTGTTCTTTAAATTTGAGTAACTCAGACTGTTGTAAAATAAAATACAGTAATATAAAGTGAGATTTATTAACAAATAATATTCTTCATCTGTAGGAAGCATCCATTCAGACTCATTTTTGAGACCTGTTCCTGTACTAGAGAAAACAAAAATGGAAGATGAGAACAGGACAGATTCCAGTCATCCTCTTGCATTTGAAGTTTCTGTCGCTTGCATGCCAACTTCAGATAGCTGTAGAGAAGAAGAGAGTTTGGCATCTCAGAATCAGTCTGTTTCACCCATACCATGCCGTAAGTCAGAAGGACAAGCTTCTGAAGCTGAAAACCTAGATAAAGAGGAAAATGTCTTGATAGAGGATGGTGTCAGCGATCTAGAAAGCTGTGGAATGTTGGAACATGGAGACGTACCTGTTGTAAAGAACGATGAGAAAGATGGCGTGGAAACATCCACTGTATGTGAAGCAAATTACATCATTATAATAATATATTCCTGATTTGATGAAATGTGAATGAACATTTTTCTAATGAGACCTGATATCCATATTAAAAAAAATTAAGAATATGCATGATTTTATTTAGATGCTAATTTGAACATGTTTTCAAACGTTCAGCCAAGACTGGGAATTTGTATCCAAAAGCAGAATGTTTCTGGAGCTTCCTTGTTGGCATGTTTTCCCTCTGATTTTAGATACCTAGTAATTTCACTTTATATCTGTGAATCCAAACTGTCAGCAGCTATTCTCAAACTATTCCCATATTCGCTGCCTGCCAGTAGGAGCAAGGCTATCAACTTTAGTTATTGCTATTGACATGAAAAGTATTAGAGATAAGTATTATATTTGTGTTTCAAAAAAAAGGGCTGTTTTGACTGAGTCTCAAGGAGATTTAAGAGTATGCTCGTAAAATGTCAGCAGAATAGGTTGATTCTGAGCCGTACTGTCCATGGACAGAACGTATCAATGTGGGAGCACATGGTAATTTATTTTTGCGCTGATGCCCTTTTCAAATGAAGAAGTGGAGGAAGAAAATACGAGGAGCATCTCTGCATCAGGTTAGGCGGAAACAGAGTTTGCTTTCATTTTATTACATTATTTCACATTGTGTATGAAGTTTACGAAATTTTATGGACTTTCTTGTTTTAGTTGAAACTGTGTCCATAGTACTGATGTTGGAGAAAGTGAATCTTCAAGAATTCTGTCTTGCAGGATAATACAGATAGCATGATCTCGGGATCTGAAACTTGCTATTTTTGGATTTTGTTAATGGCCTGAAACATGTAAAGGGAACACTTGAAGGAAAAGATCCCTCTAATAAAAGGAATCTATTCGGGTGTTTTTTAATAGTAGTTTTAATAATGTTTTCTCATTGGGTCATCTACAAACTCACAGTCTTTTTTTACTCTTGCTGTTTTGCGGTGGAGGGTGGGTGGCTTTGATTTTTTGAAGCCAAAAAAATTAATAAATTAAGCTGTGCTGATCACTTAGTGGGAAATACATTTTATAAGCCAAAGTAAAATCTTACTGACCCTTTCCCAGACATGAACTGTGCACTAATGATTTTTTTTGCAATGTTGTGAGTTTTAATAATCTTGGCTCCAGCCTTTCCACTGTAGTAGAAAGGAGCACTATAAACATCTCAGTGTTTTAATCACCATGTATTAGAGATTATATTTATCTCTTTCTGTGCCTTTAAGCCATCTATATATGAGTTTTCAGATATTCTCCAGTATAATTGCATTCCTTCTTTCTCTTTTAAGAAGAAATGTGTTGTACGTATGCAATTAAGAAGTCTGATCTTCTTTCCCTTTTTACTTACTTGGTAACTTTCTAGATCCTAAACCTGTCCTGTGCTTTAATCGCATTCTTCCTACCTCTGCTTATCACAGTAAATATGTTGTTTCATACTTTTCTTCCCATTGTATAATAGTAGTTTTCAACCCTCAAATTAGTCCAGGAGAATGTTTGTAACCTGCTAGGTTAGATTTAGGGTGTTGAGGAGCAGAATGCTGTGGTCTACAGGGACCATATGAGACTGTCTTTCCCACCCTTCTGGTAGTTTGCCATTCCTCAGCTCTCGAAGCTCTTGATACCATCAGGAGTTGGTTTACATCATTATTTCCCCACTGGCACTTAAATCTGGAGTTTTGAAAGCTGCAGCTCCAGAGCTTGTAGCATTGGCTTTAGTTTTTGAACCTTGTGTAACTTCAAGCTGAATGTATACTACGGTGCTTGAGGGAAGAAGGAATTTCCTCATATTGCAAATTAACATGTTTATTGCATTCAGTGCTCTCAATTTCTGGTCTCAATTCAAGGCCATTTTTGTACTTCAGAAATTGTATACTTTTTTACAGTCAGTGGGTTTCTGCCTCATTTTCCCAGTCACAGTTAGTGGTTCTATTGTACGTCTGTTTTTCCTCTTAAACGTCACCTGAGAAAACCAGGATATATGTTGTGTAATTTGGGAAGGGCTGCTGTAAGTTATATGTCAAACTATTTGTGTTTGACAAGGATTGTTCTTTTAAGTGAAATTGTATATTCTGAATTAGAGACAAATGTTTTATTGGTATGTTGAGTAGTATTTACAGAATTGACATCTCTACAGAATAATATTTTCATCAAAATTTACTTTGCAGAATTACATACTAAATTAGTTGTGGTTTTAACTTTTCAGTCAGTGGAAGTTGAAGGAATGAAAATATCTAAGAGTTGGTGTCATCCACTAAATAAACCCCCAACTGGATCTCCAATGACTTTGGTTAAACATCAAGCGACTATTGATGAAGGTGAGTGTACTATTTAATATGGGGTTTGGATGATCTTTTTCTGTATTATTTATATAGGTGTCCTGGTTTCAGAGTTAATTTTCTTCCTAGTAGCTGGTACAGTGCTGTGTTTTGGCTTTAGTCTGAGAAGAATGTTGATAACACATTGATGTTCGTTTTCCCTGGTTCTTCCCCACACGCTGTCGGGGGGGGGGAGGGAAGTGAGTGAGCAGCTCTGTGGTACTTAGTTACCAGCTGGGATTAAACCACAACTATAGGCATTTGCGATAACAACCAAAATGAAATAATTTCCTTCTCTATGAGAAATGTATCAGGGAGGCCTCAGAATCCACAGAGAGGTCATGCAGTTTTTGCTTGTTTCCGTGCAAATTCTTCTAAACACATTGGATCTGCCATTGCAAAAAACTGAACAATAGCATGTCATTTAAAATGAGTGTATTCACCAATCGGACATTCCTTATTAGAACTCATAACAGTTGTCTTTAAGAACAAGTTGTCAATTTTGTAAACATAGACAAGAGTGACATAAGAATCCTTTGAATATGAATATTACATGTAAGCCATAGTTCCCTATACTGAAGTAAAGCTACCTTTTACTTGTCTGTTTTTTGATACACACTGGATATTTGAGAGTGTTCTTATTCAAGTAAAAGACTACAGACTTCTGGGTATCATCAAAAGTTCATCAGGAGTCTTCACATATGCCTTTATTTCCAGGCTTTTGTTTAGTTTTATGTGGAAAGAATGAATATCTCTCTCCCTGTAGTTTTGGTAAATCTATTTTACTCAATTGATTTAAAGTAAAAATAAAGCAGGTTTACAAGTAGTGAATAGTGTGAAAGACTTTAAAAGTCTTTATGTCTTCACAAGCATAAAAAGAGGTGGAAAAACATAGTTCTGTTTTCGGACATAATGAAAACAATCTTTGTGTATTAGAAAACAGCAAAAGATCTGTCTATTTCCGTAGCTGAACAATTATTGAGGACATTCTTAGCGCAGTTTTCTGCTTAATTTTATGTGGCACAAAGCAACCAAAAGCAGGCCTTGGTAGGAATGTGTAAGACTGGGCTTCTGATGTGGCATTTAGGTACTTTTAAGTAATTAAAAAAAAAAATAAAAAAAAATAAATCTCAATGCTGAGTAGTGACCAAGAAATTACATTGTTTAATTTAATTGAATAAATAGGAAATGTAATGTTAGGCCATAATTTTTAGCATGTTTGCCCAAATCTTCACTATAAATTGCAGGCGTTATTGTATTTTATACGGTGTCTTCAGTAGGAATTTAAAAAAAAAGAATCACACCCATAAATAATGATGATAAATGACAGTGATCTATGGAACAGAGTTCTGTACAAAATAAGTAAATAATTTTACAGACATGAATTTGGTTCTTTTTAACTAGATATCTTTTTAACTAGTCAACAAAACAGTTAAAACTCAACTTCTCAGCTCTTTTTTGCTAGCTTCCTTGAGTGCTTTAACTTTAGAGAGCTGCTGTGTTGTGCAGATGGCTACAAAAGCTAAGAAATTTATACAAGGTAGGGATTTGCTTCTCTGAAGTAAGTAAAAAAGGTAAACGTGCTTTACCCAGCAATCACATGTACAGCCAGCCAAAGTTGAATAAAGCTACTTTAATCTATCAAACATGGCTTGTGAAGCTTATTGAGCTATGAATCAAAACTATCCATCAGAATGGAAAACAAACACATTCCTTTTTCATATTGCCTTACTGTTTTAGTTCTGCAACACACAGAGTTTCCAGGTACTATTCTTCATAATCTCTTCAGTTTGCAAAACTGGAGATTGGTCCTCACACTCCCTTAAACACTTTGATACTCAGTGTAGCGTAGTGCAGAATGGAGCTGATGCCATGTCTATGACTACAGCTCTGATTCCAGCATTGCTGTATGCTTTAGTGTTTACCTACACTCTGTACCTACATTTTGCTTGAATCTCTTATTTTGTACTTTAAGGGTAGGAGTCTTACTGGACTTCCTGATTTTTGCCCCTTCAGTTATACCTTTAGTCAACAGTAGCTATTGCTTGCAGCTACCGACAAACTTTCTTGATTTCAGAGAGAGGCAGCATGCCTGTTAATAGATTCTTCTTCATGTAGCTAAGGAATATTATGCTTTCATTTAGCAAGAATTTAGGTACTGTTAAGCTCAGTGCTGTAATTTTAACTTCTCCTTGAGTAGTACATCTTCCTTCTTTTTCGTAGACTGAAGTCATTGATTTGGATCTTCCATCTCACTAGTTTGGGAAAGCCATACTCTCTTTTTTATCTGAGTGGCAGTTTTGCCAGGCATGATACTTAAATTAGCTGTTAAGCATCTTTCTGAAAATTAGACACAGCTTAGGCCCATGATCCTTATCATAAATGGGTATGGATACCTTGAGGGCTAGACAGAGCGTATTTCAGAAAGCATTCTTGATAATTTACACCCAAAAAATGGTATTAACAGTAAGATTCATCTAGTGAAGTAATTAAAGATTTAAATATGTGGTCGGTTGCAGTTAAATTGCTATTTTTTAATTAGAGATTATATTCCTTTTGCTTGATGATCCTTTTTCAATGTTATAGTTAAAACAGAGTGTGAATTGTCTAATGTATGGACTTAAGCATGAATGTGTATGATGTAATTTAGCTAGATGATGATGTGATGACACTGGTTTGTTAATATTAAGGGTTCTGCTCTTTGTCTGCTGTCTTGTCCAGTAGTTTGTCAGCTTTTCAATGTCTTAATTTTACATGAAAGCAGCAGCATCCCAACAAGAAGTCATATACTTTCCAGCCTTTCCTCCTTATGTGATGATTCTCCTTCTGGTAGATAAGGGTGTATTTTTGTAAGAAAAGAAAATGTTGCCTTAGAATCATTTCAAGCAGCTATTAAGCACCTGTCTGCTCATTGATTGAAGGAAGTAATTAACAGTTTTATTGGACATGGCAGTATTTGGTATTTCCTAGCTGGAACTGGAATTTTATTTTATTTTCATGCGACTTTTTCTCATTGAGATTTAATTTATCAGCATGTGTTTGTGACAACATCAGAAGAGAAGCAATAGATTTTGGGTGAGCATAATGTTCACATCCAAGACAGAGACTGAAGGGAGTCTACCAGGGGAGACTGGCAAACTGATGCCTCATTAGCTTTCCTGGCACATGCTGGTGTACGTGTTAAAGGTCCGGGGCTAGATGAATGCCACTCAAAGGAGATTATTCTGACCATGTTCAGGATTTTTTGTTGTCAGGTATCAGGGGAATAATCAATATCAAATGTACTAATGACTATGTTCTTTATGAAGATGCTTCATCTGTATTCTGTAGTTACCAGAAATACAATTCAGCGTGCATACTTACCCAGTTTTCTGTTGTCTGTGTTTTTTGAACAAAAATAAAGCAGGTAATAAAGCAGTCTATGATACTGTAGTTACTTTGTAATTTTTGAGTTAATCTATCCTCCTTACAAGGAGGATTTGTGTATTGATGCATTATATTTTAATTTATCTGGGTCTGGTAAAATCATAAATGTAAACAAAATGGAGGAAGAAGAAGATACGGGCTAGTGCTATTATGAAAAACTAAGAAATAGTTCATGTGCAAATCATGTCACTTCCCACAATTTGGATAGTGTGTAGCCATTTCTAATACAGGTAATTTATATTCAAATTAATGTATTTGAACTCCTTCAAACAGTAAGGTTCTATTAGGAAGTTTCTGTGAATAGAAGTGATTGGAGTCTGTTATTAGTATGAAGGCAGCATTCTCTGACACTATCAGCCATTTCAGAATCCTAATTTTGCAACTAGAATACTGTCGTATTTGACAGCATACTTAAATCTTAGCAGAGAATTTCTCTATTTCACCTTAATACAGAGTCCTTTGCAGAAATTAATTTCCTTTTCATTGGATCGCTTGGACATTGACTTCTGTGTTTTCTTTTTGTCACTGCATGTACTCTTTTATGTGTATGTTTCTACATGATCTGAATGTTTCTCTTACAGAAAAATGATTGGGTTAATTGTTTCTTTGTGGTCTGTTGGTGCTTTTTTGTTTTGTTTTGGGTTTGTTGGTTGTTTTTCTTTTCTGCGTTCTCCCTGAAACCTTTCCCTATATATGTCTGATTTCTGAGGCTTCCTTATTATGACTGGTTTTGTAGAATTAATGTCTAAAGGACTGAGCAATGGGAAATGCTGGGGGCTGGGGATCAATCCCAGAAATCATAGCTCAGGCTGCCAGTTTAGAAAAATAAGTGTGGCAGTAGAGTGTGACTGTATGTCACACTCAAATTGCTAATAATTTTTATGTAATGAACCTTGGTGTATGCTCAATGTGGTATATTAGTTTGTGGTAATATTATTCTTTTATATTTAATTCAGTTATATTTCTGCTCACTTAAGCTATAAAAAAAGCAAATTCAGCAGAAGGAGCAAGCATACTGACTTTGGATGCACATTGGTTAGTCCCAGGGATTTCTTTCCAGCAATATTTGGGCATGCAACATTAGAAACTGTTTTTAGATTCAAGCTGACTAAAATTTCCCATTGCCCTAAATGATATAATAATAGTGTACAGATTGAATTCAGTATGGGTTTCTTTGTATGTGGACTTTAGTGTTTTAAATAGGATTCAGAAGTTCAAAGTCGTTTTGCCTTTGTTACTTTGTAAGAAAAGGAAACAGAGAAAACTATTGTGAGTGGAAAATGTGGCTTATATAAGAGTTTGATTAGTGAAAATTGCTACTTCTACAGCTGTAGTTTTCCTTCTACTGTGACACACTGTCCTGGGTTCAGCAGTAGCAGTCATTTTTAATCTTTCTTAGTAGCTGGTGAAGTGCTGTGTTTTGACTTTTGGCCGGGGAACAGCGCTAACACCAATGTTTTTAGTTACTGCTCAGCTGTTTTAGTCTGGCCAAGGACTTTGTTGAGCCTCATGCTCTGCCAGGGAGGAGGGGAAGCCGGGAGGAGGCGGAAACAGGACACCTGACCCAAACTGAC